TAAATCATCTATAACAAGCTGCTTTAATTTCTCAAGGCATGCTGATTTCAAATCAACAAAATGTTGAATTGCGAAAATGTTTTCTAATTTACTATATTGACAATCTAATTTGTACATAACATTTTTATCTTTCTGAATGTTTTCGACAATTAAGCGTGGCACATATGTAGCATCTGTATTTATTCTATCAACCGTATGCATTGTAATTTAGAACACAATCATCTAAATTAAAATCTTCTCTTAAACTATTTATACTATCTCGGTATTGTTTCATCTTTTTACTTGCAGTAGTTAAATGATTATTTGTAGGGATTTTGCCGAGCAAATCAAGTAAATTGTTTTTATTTGAGCTAGATAATCTAGCTCAAATAAAAACAATTTACTTGTGTTTGTGTATTTGAATTAATACTATCTTTAACTGTAAAGTCGACAGAAATAAGATCATTCATAATTGAATTCTTATTGTTGCTGGTGTGGGTTGTCTTCAGAAAAAGTTCTTCTTGTTTTGTGTAAAATTTTTACATCATTTAAAAGTGGTCGAATTTTGTATTAGTCCCACTAACGAGGGAAGGTCACCAACTGAACTTGCTGCTATGTCGTTACTCGATATCGACAAAGAAATGAATCGCATCGATTTTAATGATGATTCAATATTGACCGACATTGCTGATCTGTTCGCCTATTGCTCAACACAAGTTCATACCAAATTTGTTACGACTCTTCTCTATATGGCTCTACGCCGACTTGGCGTAACATGGCGAAAAATCGAACCCTTTTTGAAGGCAATTGGTGCAATGACTGCAGAGACTGCTCATAAATGGGTCGATGTACTTATAAATGAAGACTTTGATGTATTCACGTAAGTATTTGTTAGTAGGAGAAAGAACTCTACTTTTAATCAATATCTTTTATAAATAGGAATGAATATCGAGGAGGAAAGAGAAGCGATAGCTTCTATGACACCTTTCCTGATCTAGAAGTAGAGGCTCGTCAATATGTCCTCGAAGGGTGTACTCGCAAGGATTCGTCGTTTACTGTAAGTCTAATATTTAAAGCTAAAGAATGTTCTAAAAAATTTGCTTTGTTCAAATGTTAAGGCGGAAAAGTTGGCACGCTTCATTGACAAGCGTTTCTATGAAGTGACCAATATCAAAAAGGTGGATGACACTCTTGTTCGATCGGTAGAAAGTTGTCGACTCGACATACGTCGATTTGGTGCAAAGTATGAATCGAATACTGGTCGACCCTATTTTCTCGGTATGATTTATCTTATAATATGCAAAGATCAGTGAAATCTTTCGCTCTTTTTAGGTCATGAACGCGAGGACGTCGTAGAACATCGTGAAGATTTTGTCAAATATTTCTTGAAACATGAAAGTGACTTTTACACCTTCACAGACGGAGATTCACCGAAGTGGACGATTCCTGCTCAAAATCCAACAATCTTGATATGTAAGTTAACAGAAAAATATTTCCTAACAAAACTATTTGGTGTTTTGAAATAGGCCATGATGAGAGTGCCTACAATCGGGAGAGATCAGTGCCAAACGTTGGCTCCTCCCTGGCAATGAACCATTCTACAACAAAGGTAGAGGAAGGTCTTTGATGTCATCGGACTTTCTCGTGATGCATCCGAGTGGACCCTTTCTCACCTTATCGGACAAAGAATTCGACAAAGCAGCAGCCAAATATCCTTCATTGAAGGACGAGTCGAGTATCACATATGAACCGAATACTGCTTCTGGTACCATCTATGTCGGCGGCAATAACTATTTTAACAACGACACTATTCTATCTCAATTTGAAAGACTTTTTCAACTTGTCAAAGTAAGAAGAAAATTTTAAATAGTGAAGGACACGACACTTGCATATTTCTGTGTTTTATCAGTTCAAAAATGACTTCAAGAAACATCAAATGGTATGCCTCGTGGATAATGCTCGAACGCATACTGCTGTCGAGTATAGTGTCAACGATTTTGGAATGCGACCGGATACTCGTTGTCCGGTCAAACAAATTCAATATCTTGACGACAATATGAAGCAAAAGACCATCCAGTGTTTCGACAAAAATGGGCGTAGTAAAGGTCTGCTACGAATTGCCAAAGAATTGAACATTCCTGTGCCAAATGACTGCCAATTGCCTCGTTTGAAAGTCCTTTTGTCAAAACATAAGGCTTTCTCTCAAGTAAGACTACTCAAAACAAGTTTTAAATAAAAACAGGTTGTCTTGTTTCATGTTTAGGTGAGCAAATTGGAAAAACTCGCCTCTCAATATGACATCAAGATCGTGTTCACGCCAAAGTATCACTGCGAGCTCAATCCCATTGAGGGATGGTGGTGCCACTCCAAGCAGTATATTCGGCAAAACACCGATCAATCGTTCTCACGCCTCCTCCAGTTACTACCAGAGTCAAAGGGGAATTTCATCGGTCAACAAGTACATCTCAAGCTCTTTCGACGCTTTTTTAAGACTATGAAGGCATATGGCGAAGGCAAAGACTACAAAACAGTACTACACCTGTTTTTTAGCATCCATTGTAAAGAACAGGTCATCAGTCAAAGAAAGATAACGAACAGTCAGATGGATCTCTAGTTTTTTATCGCTTTTCTCTTTCTCTGCCATATTTCTATGTCTTTTCTTCTTCTTACTGCTCTTTTCTATGTTCTTTCTCTACTTTTAATCTAGC